TCTTCATGCTTTCAAGTTCTCATCATGCAACTAGAAATATAAGACATTAAAATACAACTAAGCAATCATGCTCAAAATAGAATCTCGGTTAATCATTCTCATATGCAAGCTAGTGCAATACTATACTCAAATGCAATCTCGTGCAAACATTCTCATTATGCAATCTCGTGCAGTACTATAAGTATAATTATACACTAGTTTGTAAAATAGAATACTTTTCTGTGGAGGTTTCTTAGAGTCACGAAGACTCGCTTTCTTTCTCTTGAGTCTCTTGACTCGATATCTTTCTTGCTCAAACTTTCTCATACTTCTCATTTCTCTTCTTGTGCGAGGCAGGTACTCTGCCGCAGTGAAGCCCTATCGTACGGTGCAATAGCGTGCATCAGTCACATCCGTAACTACAGAAACTCTTACTCGTGGGGAGGTAGGTCTTCACGAATCGTGAATGGACCTAACCAGCTCGGCAATCTAGCCGGCCACATACTCAACTCGCCCACATAACCAATCTCGTGGTTCCAACACTCATACTCTGTGGAATCAGGTATCGTACTTTTAGTGTGCACACCCCTAACCAGGATTCAAAGCCTGGCGAGCAGTCTCCAACCTCGTAACGTGGAAATACACCGCGTTACATGATAAATCTATCGGATCGCAATATCCGTTACTTTCTCTTTTACTCCGAAAGGACATAATCCCAACTAGGGATGTCAATTTAGCCCTAAACCAATGGGCTGGCCCAATAAGGCCTAAAAATTGTAGGGCAAAATCCAAAAAACCAATCCAATAAAAAGGTAAGCTCATTGGGTTGGCCCTATAGGGTTATTGGATTGTGTTGGGCCAACTCAGTGGATTGTTGAGTTGGCCCATGTAATATCCAAAGTTCACTGTAACCCTGTAGGGCCTGCGACACAATTTGAACAAAAGTTTGAGAATCGCGAAGTGAGAAACTGAGAACCCAATTTGCGTCTAGCCGTCAACATCTTCGCCGACTGTCTACGTCGCCACCTATCGTCTGCGATGTGCGTCTACGTCTCCGCCGAACCCAGTTTGAGAACCGAGGTGTCGATCGTCTGTGTCTCCGCCGAACCCAGTTTGAGAATCGAGGTGCCGATCGTCTGCGATGTGCGTCTGCGTCTCCGATTTATAAATACTTTGTTGAACTATTGAGATATTAGATATGTGTGGGTGGCTTCCATATACTGCCTGATTGAATTGCGGTTTTGATTTCGATTCTGACAGTGGGTACTGCTCTAAGAAGAAGGACGATTTATGTAGTGAGGTAAATTTTCTTTCTTTCCTCTTCAAATTGCTTAATTCTTGTTAATTATAGTCTTTGCAGTTGTGTATGTAGAAGGAATGTGAGAAGAATTCCAAATTTCAATTTCTTAATTTTCAATTTCTTATTCTATAATTTGTCGTGCATAATTTGTTTTGTTTCTATTTGCCATAGACTTTAATGCAATATATATGATAATTGATGGGTACGGTTAAGGCATAAAACATGTGCAAGAGTGATAATTTGCAAGTTCTACCTAGTACCTACCTTCTTAATTGCTCTAAAACAAGCAGAATTGGACTTAAGAAGGAGAGAGATGGGTTGTGTTGCATTGGTTTATACTGCAATAGTTTTAATGCAATTATTATATAATTTAAATATTTGGTTTATTTGATTCTGCAGCTATATGCTTATTCATTTAGGAATTTAAATGATGAATTATTATATGCATTGAATTTATTTATTTGAAAATTACATGTTTTCGGTATATTGTTTAATTTTTATATTTTTATTTTATTTTTAGGTATAGAAGAAATGTCTAGTGTGGATGAAACTGATTCAATTGATAGTGATAGCTTATCTACTCAAAAAAGAAGAAAATCATCGGAAGTTTGGAATCATTTTTCAGATGTTCAAAAAGGTGAAGATGGTAGAGGGAGGGTTACATGTAATTATTGTAAAAAATCATATTTGCATGATGTTGGAAGTGGAACATCAAATTTAAATCGACATATGTTGATATGTAAAAAGAAACCAGAACTTAGAGATGCGGGTGCTATGTTAATTGATCAAGAGGGGAAATTGAATAATAGAGTCATTGATCAAAAAGTTTGTCGTGAGTTAATTGCCCAGTGTACAATTGAACATAATCTTCCATTTAAATGGGTTGAATATAGGAGTGTGAGGTTGCTTTGTCAGTATTTGAATCCTGATTTTCAATTCATTTCTAGAAATACTGTGGCATCGGATGTTTTGCAATTGTATGAAAGACAAAAAGAAAGGTTGAAGTTGATATTGAAAAGTATTCCCGGTATGCTTTGTTTAACATGTGATGTGTGGACTGCTTGTACAAATGCCGGTTATATATGCTTGATTGTGCATTATGTGGACGAAAATTGGGTGTTGAATAATAAAATACTTTCATTATGTGATATGCCTCCTCCACATTCTGGGTTTGAATTGTCTAGGAAAGTTTATGACTGCTTGGTAGAGTGGGGGATAGATAGTAAAGTGTTTTCCATTACTTTGGATAATGCTTCTGCTAATGATGTGATGGTGAGACTTCTAAAGCAGCAACTTTCGTTACAAAATAGTTTGCTTTGTGGTGGTGAATTTTTTCATGTAAGGTGTTGTGCACATATCTTGAATTTGATTATGCAAGATGGATTGAAAGTTGCTAGTGTTGCATTAGGAAAAATTATAGAGAGCATTAAGTATGTAAAAATGTCTGAGGCAAGAATGATATCATTTCAAGAATGTGCTCAACGTGTTGGTGTTGATATAACTTGTGGACTTGCTTTGGATGTGCCAACTCGTTGGAATTCAACTTATGTGATGCTTGATAGTGCTATACAGTATCGTCGTGTTTTTTGCTCTCTTGGATTAAAGGATAGAAATTATAAGTGTTGTCCTTCAGATGAAGAGTGGTCAAGAGGGGAAAGGATGTGTGCATTTTTGTATCCATTTTATGCCATCACCAACTTGATTTCTGGTTCATCCTATCCTACTTCAAATTTGTATTTTTTGCAAGTTTGGAAGATTGAATGTTTGTTGCTTGAAAATTTAGAAAATGAGGATGAAGTAGTAAAGGATATGGCTAAGAATATGAAATTGAAGTTTGACAAGTATTGGGATGAGTACAGTGTAATACTTGCAATGGGAGCTATTTTTGATCCAAGATTGAAATTGTAATTTGTGGAATATTGTTATAAGATGCTTAATCCACATACTTATCAAGTCAAGGTTGAATGGATAAATAACAAATTATACATGTTGTACAATGAATACACGAAAAGGAGTGTTGGTTCTTCATCTTCTGGAGTTTTTACTTCTCAATCACAAGAATCTTTGGCACCAAAGATTTGTGGAGTAAGGAGATGAGGATTGAGAAGTAGAGGAGGACATGGAAAATTGGATGAAACTCTTATTTCTGTAAGTTAATTTCTTTATGTTGTTAATCATATGTTGCTTATGTTGTTTCTTTGTTATTGGTTAATATTTGTATATGCTTAAATTATGTAGGGTTATATTGATTATCGAAACAAAGCTTAAAGTGGCAATCAAGATTTAAAGTCTAATTTAGACAAATACTTGGAAAAAGTGCAAATGAATCAATTAGATGATATAAATGTTCTTTTGTATTGGAAAGGAAAAAAGCAAAGTTATGGGCAGCTTGCTAAAATGGCATGTGATGTGCTTTCTATTCCTATTACAAGTGTAGCATCAAAATCCGCCTTCAGTATTGGAGCCCATATTTTGAACAAATATAGAAATAGACTACTTCCAAAAAAAGTGCAAGCTCTTATTTGTGCACGGAATTGGTTGCATGGATTTCCTACAAATGTTAATATTGGTGTATTTATCAAGTTTGATTTTTTTTTGTACTATTAAATAAACTAGTAATTCACCCGCGCGTTGCACGGGGAAAAATTATGTTATTATAAATAAAAATAAATAAAATAGAAAAAATAAAAATATTTTAAATTGTTTAATATAATAATATTTTTGAGCTTCCATCGGTCAAGTATTTATTATTTTTATAGAATACAAAATTATAATTAAAATTTTGTATGGTTAATATAATCTCTAATTATGTACATAATTACATTGATTTATTCTTAATTGTATTCCATTTATATTATAATTTTCACAATACGAATAATAACTAAGATAATTACATTTAGAAAGCAAATTTCAAATTTTGTATGAATCAATTTAAACTCTAATTGAACACATTTTTTTATATGATTATATAATATATTCTTTATGCACATGTTATTCCATAAACTCAAATGTCATTTTATAAGTCCAAGACCACTTTTTTGTGGAGATAATTCAAATGTATTTTTTTTCTTTTAAAAGTCCTAAGTTTAGACATCCAGAAAAACATTAAAGACCCATACGATATATACATTTATATATATTTAAATTTTTATTTATGGCTTAAATGATTTTTTTTTATTCTGAAGTTCAATAATTGACCCACGGCCCGCAACATTTGCTTTCTTCATCCCTTCTCGCTTCTGTCATTTCTTTGAAGCATTTGAGAGGGGGAAAAATTATATGTAGAGGCTTGCATTAATTGCATTGTTTCAGATATCGAATAGGTTTTCATCGAAAATTTAATATTGTAATCCCAAGAACCACCATAAATAACAAAAGCATATCAAATAGACTTTCATTGTAAAGCCAGAGATTTAATTAATATTGCATCGTTCATATTTTCAATTAATCGGGAATCGGAATCCTTAATCCTAATATCATAACATTTAATAACTCCATTAATTCAATAAATGTAATCCTTTTTTATGAGCTAGAAAAAAATTAGCTATTTTATTTTTTAAATGTTGTGCTTTTTTTTTTTATAGTAAAAGGTGTTGTGGCTATTTTATATTTATAGCTAGTAATAATAATAATGTTGGTAATTAATTGTAACATTAATTATTTCCCAACCATATAGCTTTATTATATGTAAGATGTTATTGTTTTTTGATGAAGATGAAGATGAAGATGGAGATGGAGATGGAGGTGAAGGTGAAGGTGAAGATGAAGATTATGTTGGTGAAGTTGGTGTTGGAGCTTCAAATGTTGCTGTGGAAAGAATAAGGAAAAAGAAGATTGTTATTTTACATTTGATTTGTTTTTTGTTTTGAACTTTAATGTTGATTGTGGATTTGTGGCATTTTTTGTTTTGAACTTTTGTATTTATTGTCGATTTGTGACATTTTTTGTTTTGAATTTTATGTTGATTGTGGATTTATGGCATGTTTTGTTTTGACCTTTATTATTTATTGTGGATTTGTGACATTTTTTGTTTTGAATTTTATGTTGATTGTGGATTTGTGGCATTTTTTGTTTTGAACTTTAGTATTTATTGTGGATTTGTGACATTTTTTGTTTTGAATTTTATGTTGATTGTGAATTTGTGGCATTTTTTGTTTTGAACTTTAGTATTTATTGTGGATTTGTGACTTTTTTGTTTTGAACTTTATGTTGATTATGGATTTGTGGCATGTGAATTATATATATATATATATATATATATATATATATATATATATATATATATATATATATATATGTGTGTGTGTGTGTGTGTGTGTGTGTGTGTGTGTGTGTGTGTGTGTGTGTGTGTGTGTGTGTGTAGATATTTCAAAACTCATCCCGACCTCTCCATCGAATGTGGAAATCCTCTCTTATTTTTAAATTTTTGTTTAGTGATTGAGCCCGTTGGATTAGCCCAACAACCCACTATTTAGGGTTAGGGCCAACCCCACTGAAAAAGAAAAAAATAAAAAACCATTTAGCCCAAGCCAACAAGCCCAACAAGCCCAACAACCCTGTAGGGCCAGTCCATAACCCAGCGGGCTGGCCCATTTGACATCCCTAGTACCAACGGGCCCTCCAAAACCTCACTGATATATATATATATATATATATATATATATATATATATATATATATATATATATATATATATATATATATATATATATATATATGCTTCGAATCCGGTGCAACCCCTATGATACATGAGATCATGAGATCTCATGATATCTATTGATTCATTTTCCATGGATGGTTGAGATTGAAAGATTCTTTTAAACTAATTGAGGACATTTTTCAAACATAAGGATTAAAAAGTAATTCTAGTATTGAGTTTATTTTTGGTTAGTATTAAATTGTAATCTTGAGCATAATATTAGGTAGAATATTAAAGGTAATAACTAGTAATAATTTCTATTGATAGCTGATATTTTTAGTTGATTATGTACGACAGTGTGTGCGTGTATGTATTATGGCGTGTGCAAATTGTATGGATGAGGTTTTTTTTTTTTTTTTATGAAAATAGTTTATATGTGTGTGCGTGAATTTATGTATATGGGTTGGTTTTAAAGAAGAAGATTGCAAGAGTAGTACGTGTAGTATTTTTTTTTTAAAGAAAAAAGAGTGCAACAAGCCGAAGAAACGTGGGTATTCGTTGGTGTGTGTGTGTATGTGCAACAGCGTGTGTAAATTGTATGGTTGCGGGCTTTGATTTTTTTTTTTTTTTTGGACTTTTTTTTAAAAAAAAATTATTATTTTCATTAGTAAGCAATGGCGTGTGCAACTACATGAACCACTAAGTTTCCATGATGTTGTTAATATTTTTTGTTCGTGTTTTTTGAAAAATTGTTATGTTTTGTAAGCATCAACGCATGATGGTTTTTTTTTTTAAGAAACAATAATTTAAAAAGCCGAAGGCAAGTGGGTTGGACACAGGTGTGTGCATTAGTAAGCAATGACTTGTGCAACTACATGAACCGCGAACTTTGCATGACGTCATTAATATTTTTTGTTGGTGGTGTGGGCGTATATGTGCTATGGCGTGTACAAATCTTAATGATGCGGCGTTCATTTTTTGTTTAGTTGTACTTGTTAGCCAAAATTATTATTAGGTATGTGCGTGAATTCATGTTTTTTTTGGTTTGTTTATAAAGAAAATGATTGTTAGAGTAGTCCTCCTTAGATTTGTGGTGCACCGGTGTTGAAATTTACAGTGGTGTGTGCATATATGTACAACAGCGTGAGCATGCTATTGTAAGTCGGACTTCGCATAACTGTGGTACTATATTTTTTTTCTTTTATTTTGGCATGTGGTGTGGTGTAAAATAATTGGTAATCAGAGTACGCATGAATCATTGACCTTTTTCTTTTGGTAAAATTTTAGTAAAAGAATGCAGAAGCTTTTTGGCGTGTGATTTTGATTGTGGTCTGTGCATAACTGTGGTACGGCGTGTGCGTAATATGATATTGGAGTCAATGCAAGTGTGTTCTGTTTAGAATTTTGACTGAAACTGTAATTAGATGATTGTGCACATTCATGAGGTTGTTTTTATTTAATTAAAAAAGATTATACAAAACTTGGGCTTGGGTTTTTTTTTCCCTAACCCAATTACATTCACAGCTTTCCATTGGCATGCATTAAAGCGCTTCATTTGGGCAACTAAATGCTTTGGGGATGTACGAGTCTTCATAGTTGGGAAGATATCTACATCATCCTCATCGGGCATCCAAAGTCGGATCTCCTTGAGCATGAGGAGACACCACGACGGTGGGAGCTGGCGGGTCTACTTGGGCAGTAGGCGACGCTACACCAAGGGGGGCTTCAACGACCTCAGAAGTGTTCCCTAAAAAAATGTCAAGCTTTACGCACAGACAAACAAAAATGGTGCTAGACAGAAACATACACACAAAAAAAGAAGAGATATGTACTTCCATAAAAGAAGTCACCCAAACAAAACCACTTATTGTTTAAAAAAAATAATGCAAAATCCCAGCACAGTAATTCGCACACGCCATAACACTACACTGCACTGCACATACCAAATAACAAAAACCAAACTGTTTAAAAGGATCCCAATGAAAGAGTTAGTTCCAAAAAAAATAAAGAGAGACAAACACACAAAAGAACTATTTAAAAAAAAAATGATGCAAAATCTCTCACAACGTAAAGCGCACAGGTCATAACACTGCAATGCACACAACACTGTTACTCTGTTAGATTACATCTTCAAATACAACAGTAAAACCTAAAAAAAAAAAATTAAAAAACAACATGAATTAGGAGAGAATTCGTATATAGTAGTGCCAATGCTGCTAAAATATTATATTTATTCATTAATTCCTTTTTCATATAATTTATCACAATGCACCCACCACAAAAAACACATGCACACAACTAAGTCATTCACAAACAGTTTGAAATAAATACACATGGCATACCACATCGATACAACGACCAATGTTCACAAAACGCACACGCCATCCCGAACCTACGCACACACCAAGATCAAATATGAAGTTTTACAAGGTGAAGTGATAAGAGTTAATAATACAACACATATTTTGGCACATGATAATGAATGGAAGGCAAACCCATGCATGCATTATTATGCGACAATCTACCTTGTGGATGATACATATACACTGAAGAGCTAAAAACAAAGTTTACATATTTGTATAGGGACAGAACCAGAATTTACATTGAGTGAGGGCGAAGAAGCGAAGTTAAAATGAAAAAGAAAAAGAAATTTTTTGAGTGGAGAAATTTCCACCATTTTTTTGAGCTAATACATCAATACCATTCAATTTAGAGAAAACAAAAAATGCTTGGATGACAACTTGACTAGCCAACATTAAAATGTTTTACTGCTCGGGACCAATGCCAATCATAGTTTAAACCGAAAACTTTGTTTCTCACTAACACAACCAATGCATTTTAGCCATGCACTCATACTATAACTATATGGGAAAAACAAAAACTTGCCAGTAATGTATCTAAAACCTGGGATAAAATTTGCAACCATCGTGCAAAAAAGCAACTCAACCATGAGCACTTAGCCCACAATCTTCTACATGATAGTTAAAGCCACAAAACTTTTGTTCTAAAAATTGCAAATTCACAAAGCAGTTTTACTAAAACATGAAAATGCAATTAAGGAAAAGCATTATACTGTAATGAATTTCAACAAAACCAAAAAAAAAAAAAAAAAAAAAAAAAAAAAAAAAAAAAACAAACAAACAAACAATTAAGCATATTACTATTTGCAATTTAGAAATGCATTTTCTCACTTAAAATTCCACAAAAATTTAATGACCACAACAGAAACAAATTCCATGCGCAGACATACATATGAAAACATCATATGTTCAATGATTCAGACGAATTGGGGAAAAATTCGCAAGTAATTAGGGCAAATGAAGTTAATGAACAGATCTAAACACTACAGATGTAACAGATCCAAGGGATTAGGGACGACCGCGGACGGACGAAGAACTGAAGAAGACTACTGTGGACTCATGGAGGCGGTGGAGCTGACGGAGCTGCCAAGCTGCTGCCTGCTATGTTGTTCTTCTTCTCAGGGACAGACGGACGGACAGACCTGACGAAGTGCGAATGCCGTCCACCCAGAACGGCCAATGGTCGGCGGTGGCGACTTGCGACGTGCGATTTGCGAAGCAGAGCCGCGAAGCTGGAGCGTGGTCTACTGGTTTAAGAACAAATGAATGTAAAAAATAATAATAATAAATTATATTGTGGTGTGTCCGTTTGTGATTGTGATTTAATACCAGAGATGTGGTGTGAATACCGCAGAAGAAAGAAAGAGAAAGAAAGAGAAATTGAACGGAAGCAAAAGAGACTGCATTAAATATTGATTGTGATTTAATACCATAAATACCTGTGCACAGACCCAAAAAATCGGTCACCCAAATTTTTATACCTTAATAACAATATAAGCAAAAGCCAACCATACCCCCCAACTCCAAAATAAACATAGCGCGTGAGTTATTCATACTGCAAATCTGAAGCATTGAACAATATTAATAAACGGTCAAGATCGAGGCTCACGACCTCACCAGACAATAGTGACCTCACCGGATCCAAAATCTACACACACACACACACACACACACATATATGTGTATATATATATATATATATATATATATATATATATATATATATATATATATATATATATATATATATATATCTTTCATGCACCAAACTTATGTATGTCACATCTCAACAACTTCTCAGTGCAACACGATAAAGACTTTCCACATGCTCATGAGTTTTGGAAAAATAATACTTAGGCTCACGTTGGCCACTTATGCACTTTTGAATCATGCTAGTTTACAAAAAGACATGCTCTGTACATTTCTACCATAAAAATAAGCTTCAAATCCCATTGAACATACAACACAATCTAGTCATGCTTTTCTAATAATTCTTATCCACAAAGTATTCATGCTTCTCTAATCAATACACAAATAGCATAAGGGGAATAAAACAAAGAAATTCCCAAAGGCAAAGAACTCAAATAATCATACTGTGAAGCAATTTCATCACTAAAGCCATCAGAACATGCTCATTTCTAATCCAAATCCGACGAAATCAAAGCCAAAACGTGCGTCAAGACGGCCCCGAGGTACTGAGCCACAAGGGCCCGTGACACCTGATTCGAAATGACACGTAGCTGAGCCACAAGGGCCTGGCCATTACACATGAGCAACTCACGGTCCAAGGGGTTATACACTTTATAGATCAAAAGTTCTTAATAAAAACTTTCTAGAGATACATAGTATTTCCCAAAATATACGATGTTAATAACTAAGAAATTTTAGGGAAATAATAGAATAAGCTTCAAATATCTTTATAATTAAATATACACCTCATACATAATTATATAAGTATATATTCTCAAAATCAAGTATATCATTTCCCCAAAACATATATACTCATAAAATAATTCTTGAAATAGAGTTTTCTTGGCACATCAAGCTTTTGGTAGTTTAAACCCTTCTCAAACATATTTATGATTTTCTATAAAAAAAAATACTTTTAAATATAAATAAACCTGAACTCCCATTTCTAATCCGTCACCATGGTCCGTGAACTCCCAGAAATGGGTGCGGGGGTGCGGGGTGACAATTCCCAGAAATGGGTGGTCATGATCCGTGATCCGTGAACTCCCATTTCTAATCCGTCACCATGGTCCGTGAACTCCCAGAAATGGGTGCGGGGTGACTGGTGACGGATCTTGCCTAGATCCGTCGTCACCAGTCCCTATGGTCAAGATCCGTCACCAGTCCCTATGGTCAAGATCCGTCACCAGTCCCTATGGTCAAGATCCGTCACCATGGTCCGTGAACTCCCATTTCTAATCTGTCACCATGGTCCGTGAGCTCCCAGAAATGGGTGCGGGGTGACTGGTGACGGATCTTACCTAGATCCGTCCCTATGGTCAAGATCCGTCACCATGGTCCGTGAAATCTTGCCTAGATCCGTCTCTATGGTCAAGATCCGTCACCAGTCCCTATGGTCAAGATCCGTCACCATGGGAGTTGATCTTGCCTAGATCCGTCCCTATGGTCAAGATCCGTCACCAGTCCCTATGGTCAAGATCCGTCACCATGGTCCGTGAACTCCCATTTCTAATCCGTCACCATGGTCCGTGAGCTCCCATTTCTAATCCGTCACCATGGTCCGTGAGCTCCCAGAAATGGGTGTGGGGTGACTGGTGACGGATCTTACCTAGATCCGTCCCTATGGTCAAGATCCGTCACCATGGTCCGTGAACTCCCATTTCTAATCTGTCACCATGGTCCGTGAACTCCCATTTCTAATCCGTCACCATGGTCCGTGAACTCCTCCCATTTCTAATCCATCACCATGGTCCGTGAACTCCCAGAAATGGGGTGACTAGTGACGGATCTTGCCTAGATCCGTCCCTATGGTCAAGATCCGTCACCATGGTCCGTGAACTCCCAGAAATGGGTGCGGGGTGACTGGTGACGGATCTTGCCTAGATCCGTCCCTATGGTCAAGATGCTAATGCTTTCCTATTAACACTTCAACAGATGAACACTTCTCCAAAATCACATAGCAAGATGACAACAAATAACATATACTTCATCACTTTAAACACTCAATACATAAGTATAAACCAATTTGAACAAATAAATCACATATTTTAGGGCAAAAATACTAGATTTGGGAATCCATGGGTTATACCTTGAGCATTCTTGTTCTAGCCAACACCATTACCAAGCTCTTTTTCTTCACCCTTCATCTTCCTTCTCCAAACCAAAACATAGCAACAACTTCACCATTTCCACTCACAAGCACACAAATAAACCCACATAAATACATCATCTTAACAACTTAAACTAGAGAATGGAATGAAGGAAGAGAGGAGGAAGCTTACCAAATCTTGGACTAAGGCTTGGAGAAGAGGAGCTTTCAAGATGAAGAAGATGAAGATGGTAGAGAGGTGGAGAGAGAGAGACACGAGAGAGATGAGAGAAAGGGCTGCCAAGGGAGGTGAAAAAATGAACAAGAGTTAGGGTAGAATAGTGTTCTTTTGTTGCTAGGGTTGAAGGGTAAAAGTGTAATTGCTTACTTTCAAATATCTCATCAAATGCTTTGTCTTGTAGGAATAGTCAAGGTCCACCTTATATCATGAACCAAGGCTAGAAAGATGACTTTTGAATAACTTGGGGTCAAAATAGATTTTCTAAAAGATAGTTCTAATTAAAACACTTGGTTAATTAAGGTTTCACAGGTTCCTTTCCGGTTTCACTCAGATTGACTTTTGGATAAAAAACTTGGTACGCAATGTACCCGAAAATCTAGGATTTTAGATTTAAAATAAGTGCCGGTGTTGAATTTACTTAAAAGTGGCTCAAAATAATTTATTCAACACCAATTTCATCGCAAAAATTTTTACGGAGTGAAAAATGACTATTTCAGAATTTCTTAAAATCGGATTTATAAAATTAAATTTTGGGTTGTCACACTCACGCCACCTCCCTCGCAGCTTCGTCAGCCATGGCCTTCCCCCATGCCGCACCAACCGTCAGCTCGGGTTTTGCTTGGTTCACCTCCACTTCCTCGACTTTGAGTGCTATGTATTTAGTCGGGCTAATTATTTGACCAAAGTTTATGTTAAATTTTATATTATATTTTTAAATACATTTTAACATATTTGTAATATATGTTCAACAATTATGCTAACTCCGATTGTGATAGAGTTAGAACCTAAGACATTTCTTATATAAATTAATGAGTAAGTTAAAGAATAATAAATAATTAACGGAATATTCCGTTATTAAAATTTATACTAACAGAATGCAATGTTATTTAAGAGAAGAAAACAATATAATAGGGGGTAAATAAGAAAACTCATAAAAGTAATACTAAAATCAAAATATGAACTATTTATTTTCACAAACAATTACACCAACATTTTTTTTTTTTGTTCTCATTAAGGGTTTAAATTTATTAGTTCTTATTAGATTTGTAGATGTAGATGTAGATGATAGATTTGTAGATTATAAAGTTCATAATGAGATTAGTACAATTTTAATTTAAGCAATATTACTAAAATATTTGACAAAAGTTTATTCTAAATTTTGTTTCTATAAAACGCCTTTTCTTTAAAAAAAAAAAAAAAAAAAAAAAAAAACTATAAAACGCGCGATGAAATTTTAATATTAAATTTTTACCATGAGACTTCCAAAACTCACCCGGTCAAAATTATTCGTTTTGAGTTTTGACTGCGTAGAACTTACCGAAAACGGACAGGTGGTGCTCAGTGCTCACAGTAGCAGACTAGCAGGACTAGCAGCACAGCACAGCACTTGCATTCTTCACGTTAGAATTTTTCCGTCTTTTTCCTTTTTTTTTTTTTTTTTTAAATTTAATTTAATTTTTTTTTGTTTTCTAAAGTTTATTTATTTATATATTTTACTTTTCTGGTCAGAACTCAGAACTGATATACAGTAGTATTTTCTATTTCTATATTCGGCTTCTTCGCAACTCCAATCGACTGTGTTGGGGAAGACAACCTTAATCTTCGTCGTTTGTCTCTCTGTACAATTACAATCATCATAGTAATCATAGTGGTCGGAGGATTGATATGAAGTCTCCGTTGGGTAAGCTGAAGAAATTGGCGTTGCATAAGAGCGATGCAAAGGACAAGAAAGATCATCACTCCTTGGTCCTCTCCGACGGCCTCGCGCAGGCTTCGCAGGTCTCTGATCTTTCTCCCTATTTACTCTCTTTCTTTTGCTTTATGTTCTCTCGCTTTTTCTTCTTTTGTTTATTTATTTATTTATTTATTTTTTAATAATAATCATGAGATTGCCGAGTAAGATTTGAGCATAGTTTTTGGCGGAGTTTCCTCGCTGGTAATTCCATCGCAAACATTGTTGATTTTTACGGCATATTTCCGATTCCTGAGAGACTTGTTTGCTTTGAAGAGTCTCAGCAGTGTAGTTGCTACGCCCTTCCCAAGTCGGAAGAACCTAGAAATCTCACCTTTGAAGTGTGGTCAAATCTGTTTTTGATGTCTATTCGGGTTAGATCACTTAATTAGTTTCAATTCTAGCTTTGTGACAACTGTTGGAGAGCAATTTAGAGTTATGTCAACCATGAAGCTGTGTTCCTTTTAGATAAAAAATTTTCAGGTCTGACAATTTGAGTTTCATCTGAATCCCCCCTTTTTTGGTGCATCTGAATTCTTGTTATTATGCATACTATAATTACAAAGTTGTAGACATATCTGATTGGGGAAAATTCTGATTCATTCAGAATATATCTAAATGATTGCAACTCCACTATGTCACCTGTAATTGGGAACTTTAGGACTTTTTCTTTTTCTTTAGCAGGATCCTCTGCTCCCCGCATTCTCTTCTTTATCTTTGTAGTTGCATCTACATTGACTTCTGTTCTGTTACAGGATATGAAAGACATGAGGAACTGCTATGATAGTTTACTTTCTGCAGCAGCAGCAGCAGCAAATAGTGCATATGGTACTTTATGTCTTTATTCTTTACTCGTTACTCTAATTTTGAAAATAAAAAATGATAGTTCTGCATGGGCTCTGATGGAATGTCAATAAGCTTAGAGGACCAAGGGGATGTAACATTATGCTTACAACTGGTTGCTAAATTCAGTTTCTTACCTTTCTCGCCCTTATTTTGGAATATATCTTTCATAGATTATTATTTGATTGAACCTTTCTTTGAATAAGAATCTTGAGTCCCACTACTGAAACATCATGCCATCGTGGTCATTAATCATTATCAAGTATGAATCTTTCTTTTCAGAATTTTCGGAGTCCTTGATGGAAATGGGGAACTGTCTATTGGAGAAAATTACACTGAATGGTGATGGAGAAAGTGGTAAGTGAACCTACCTTTTCCACACTTGGTCTTTTTTTGGTTCTTGTTATTTTACTGGCTAAATGAAGACTGTCAATTCCTTAATATGTTTTGGGTGGAAAAAGAAAAAAAAAGTTACGATAGCACTATGCAATTCTTAGTTTAGGTTGCTATATGCATGCAGGCAAAGCATTCTCAGCACTTGGAAGAGTGCAGCTGGAACTGCAGAAACTTGTTGATATCTATGTTAGTGCATATCATTGTGACTATCTTCAATATTTTATTTTGGATTTGAAAAAAAAAAAAAAAAACAAGGGTGTGACTAATGGAAATTTCCATTGCAGCGTACTCATGTTATTGTAACCATCACAAACCCATCAGAGTCTCTTCTTAATGAGCTTCGGAAAGTGGAGGTTTGTGTGTTGAAAGTCTGGACTTACATCTACCTGTTTCAGTCTGATTGTGTTAAATCCTACTTCTCCTCCCCCTGTCCCCTCTTGGCTCTTGTTTTTGTTGTCCTCTTTGTACTTATAAACAGAGCTTTGGGGAATAGACTAGAGTTGCTCTTTCTTAGTTATCTGTGTTGCATGGTAAATATGTTGAGAAAAGTATGTGTGTGTGTAGCAGGCTGTTTGGTCTTTTATGAAATAGGAAATAGTAATCCGCCTGACATCTTTCATGTTGTTAAATTTAAAGCACTAGCAGTTAGATATTTAAAATCAGAAAACCCAGTTTTCCTTGTGGCTCAAGCAGTTTGAATGGTTTAGTTTGGTTATTCAGCACCCTTATTCTATAACGTTTAAAGAGTTCCATCCTCTATTGGTGCAGGAGATGAAACTACAATGTGATGAGAAAAGGTAATAATCTTTTCCATTGATCTGAGAAGATGTGTTATTTTCTTGCTTTTGTCATAATTATTGACTTCTTGCTTAATAAGGGAGGTGTATGAGTACATGATAAGCAACAGGGGAAAATGTGGAAAGGGCGAGAATTTTACTCCACAGCAATTGCAGGCTACTCGTGAAGAACATGATGAAATGGCAAGACTCTGCATTTTTCGTGTTGAATCTCTGAAGCAAGGGCGATCCCACAGTCTCTTGACCCAAGCCACCCGTCATCATGCAGCACAGGTGTCCTTGTGTCTTCATAAATTCAAACCATTACTGCCCATCTTTATTGCGAGTCTAGTAATGCTGTTTTCCTTGTCTCCTTTGGAACAGTTGAATTTGTTTCGTAAGGGATTTAAATCTCTTGAAGCTGTTGATCCACAAATAAGGATGGTTGCTGATAAGCAACATATAGATTTCCAAATCAGTGAAATAGATGATACAGATGATGATGGATCTAAGAGGTATGATGCTAATGATGAAGGGGAGTTGAGTTTTGACTATCGGACAAACAAGCAGGAGCTGAGCAATTCTATGGAGGTATCTTTTATTTTTTTTATTTTTTGTTTTGTAGGTGCAACTTTTGTATTCATAAGATCAATATTGTAAAATTTTCCTTGTTTCTTCCTAAGATCAAAGTTGATTAGTATTTTGGTCTGCTATGTGGATTCTGCAGTTAGATCATGCTGATGCTCCTAGTACACAAACTTCAGGCATAGAAGATATTGAGGTGAAGTTCTCCTTCCCTATATTACACTCTTTTTAATTTTAGTTTTCAAGTAAATCTTTGATTTTGTTTATCCACTTTGTCTCTATAACAATTTATGTAACACATTTGCAGTTAGATTTCAAATTCCAAGATCATGTTTTAAACAGACAACCTCGAGTTAGCAGTCATTCTGCTCCAATTGGACCAATTAATGCAGAGAAGATGGATATATCTGATAGGAATAGAGAAGCTCAGACATCTGCAAGAAAATTCCATACATATGTGCTGCCAACTCCAGCAGATGCAAAAAGCCTACCTGGAAGGGCAAGTGGTTCTTTTTTCCCTTCGAGTGTTACAAACCTCACTGGCAGTACCAACAATTTGTGGCGTTCAGATAATTATGATAAAGTCAAAGATGATAATAGCTTGTCAGTTCGTGGTGCATCAAAAGCTCAATCATCATTCAAAGAAAGCAACATTAACAATGCGTCCATCCGTCTACCCTCTCCTTTAGAAGGAACTTCGTCGGTTCAACAATTAGAGACACACAATACATTTGATGTTGAAAGGGCAAAAAGACTCTCTTTCTCTGGTCCGATATCAAGTAAGCCATTGTCTAACAGGCCTTCATTATCTGCCAGTGGGCCTATTGGCTCTGCTGAAAGGTCCCAGCAAGAATCTGGATCAACCTATGGAGTGCCAAGAGTCCAGCCACCTTCATCCATAGACATCTCCCGCAGTGCATCACCTCCACTTGTAGCTTCGCCAAAAATCAGTGAGCTGCATGAGCTCCCTCGGCCTCCTGGCTCTTTAGCTTCCAAGCCTGCAAGTAGATACTCCAACCCTTTGGCGGTATCAAATCCAGGGTCTTCACTACCATCTCGACATCTAACTGTTTCTCGAAGTTTCTCCATACCCTCCAGTGATCATAGAACAATGGCTTTAAATGAGTCCAAGCTAGCAGGAGCAGATTCTCCTATAATGAAAGATAATGCAGTAGTATCATCTCCTCCATTATCACCTATTTCTGTGTCAAACATTTCAACTCTTTCAGTAGTGGGCACCAGTTCTGGGCAGATCAGAGGTATTTTAAATAGCCTGTTTTAATTACATCCTTGTGGTTTGTGCTTTGTTCTTTTTCCCTTATGAAGAAAAATAATTCCTCAGCTCAGCGAGCAAATTTTTGAGGCAGATGATATGGCTAGAAAATATTAAGGTTTATGGTAAATAAATAAAACAAAATTTCAATTTTGTGCTTTTATTGTGAGTAGATAGAGCATCTGCAGTCTAGTTTCTGATTCAACATCTGAACTTCAGTGGACGCAGGTGGAAGATGATATGAGCGTCCCTTGCCAATGTCCCACTGTACCCTTCTGCTGAGTTCAGACCTCTTGTGGTTCTTCACAGTCCACAGAGCAGAGTTTGTTGACACAAGGTTGTGCTGGTATAGGGCTGTAAATGATATAATTTTGTTGGATTTACATTTAATTATTCCGCCCCCGTTGAGTATTATATTATACATCAGTTTTGACCATATGATGATGTCTCTTGATAACACAAAAATCCTCTCCCCTTGCCCTGCTGCTGTGCCCAAATGAACACTCCATTCCACAAGGAATAGAGAAAGGGAAGAGTATAAAACATTGTTTCTTTTATGTGTATTTTGTAAAGGGTAGGAACTGAGTGGTCTTCATTTGAAGAGGTGTTTTTGTTTATAGTACATAGCGAATAGGTATTTTGGGTTAAGGAACCTGTCGTGCTCGTTCACGTCACCTGTATCACGTTTTTGTTGCTTGTGGCTCTGTCTGTGTCTTTCGGTTTTCCTTGTAAGTTAATGTTCCAGGTTATGGACTTATGGTACACCATTTCTTTTGTTTCTTAATGAAAGATTTGATTTTGCTTGGGATTCATCAAGTGTATGAGCTAATGTTGAGGGATAATGCCAAATGTAATACAAAGAATTATACAATCATGTTATCCAATTCAATGATGTGCACAACTCCTTTTTGTGTATACATATTATTTCCGACTCTTTTGTTTGTTTGTTGTTGGAGGAGGGGCCTCAACCTAGATTTTTGGCAATCTAGGGTGTGTTGGTAATAAATTAATAATGAAACTTATGAGAATCGTTTGTTGGCTATCTCTTTGTTTTTTTTTTTTTTTTAAGAGAATATTTCTCAATCTCGATTGCTCTTAGATTAGTGAACAAAAATTTATTATGATTTTGGTTCAAAATTGGGTTAACTAAACAAGTTATTTTGTGTTACTATTTATTAACAGATAATTAACTTTATAATTTGGGATAGTTGGTAAGTATATTACTAATATAACTGCAAGATGATGATAATATATGGAGTATTTAACAAGATTATGATTATCGCGTGATATATGTATTGGAATTATTTTATATTTATTTATTATATATCATTAAAGTTTTATTTAATGATTTTAGACTACTAAACTTTTTATTGTTTTAAAAGCTATGAATTTCTTTAAGAGTGAGTTAGTATAATTCACATAGTAGGAAGTGAATTGGATTATTATAGATAGAGTTTGCATGTTAATTACGGAGTAGTGTATGATATTTTTGCGCTTTTCATTATTTAAATTTGTTTAATATTTTAACGTCAATATGACAATAAAGAAAAACAAAAGGGTGAAGTTTTGGAAGAGAAAAAACAAAAGGCTAAGAAAGGGGGATAGGAAATTTAAGGCAAGAGGATAAAGTGTTGGAAAAAGTGGGAGAAGGCGAAGGTGCGAAGGATTTAGGAATGGAGATAATCCGAGCAAGTTATGGCGGTTTCAACGTCAGATTGCTTCAGCCGTCTGCTTTAACGTTCTCGAAGACTTCCCTCCCTACTTGCCATTCTCCATTTCGAAGAGTTCCGGCTACTTCACACTCAATTTCGTCCCTGAAGCCCACATTTCCTTGCCGGAAACCTACCGTGTGCGCACTTCTCGACGATAATGATCCCGGTGAGACCATCATCGTCCCGACTTTTTCTTATTTTTGTTTGGTTTCCTTCATGTCAACTGCTTGACAGTATGAGTTTCCAGATTCCACAGCGGATGTCGCAAATGCTGCTGATCTGTCGTTCGTGGTGAAGGTGAGACGATTCTCCGCCTGAAATAAATGGATGTGGAGCTCAATTGTTTACTGTTCTGTATAGTTTCGTTTCGTTTAGTTTGAAGAGCACTTTTTTAACTGTTCAGTTGTATTCAGAAGAGGGCGTTTGAGATATCCCCTGATTTGAAAGGAACTTGTATATTTCTTGTTGGTGAGCATTACTCTTACTTTCAACGGCCTTTTTGTTCTCTTGATTTTACTTTTAATTGTTTTTTTTTTAATTTAAATATTACTTATGAAGATTGTCTGTTTTGAAGGGATTAATAGCTCCATTAAATCCAACTTGGGGAAACTTCTTGCAGATGAATTGAAATACTATTATTTCGACAGGTAATTATAGCCAACCAGAGCTATTACACCTCCATTAGTTTGATTATTAACCTGTGATAGTTTGGTGCAGTGATAGTGTAGTTGAAGATGCTGTAGGAGGAAAGGAGGCTGCTACATCATTTATACAGAGTGATAAGGAGGGGTTTCAGGACACAGAGGTGACTTCTTTTTTGTACTCTATTTATTTACTTATGCCTTGAGGTTGCATTACTATTTTGATGATGATCCTGTACACTCATCTCTAAACCCGCATTTCAGACAGAGGTACTGAGGCAGCTGTCATCCATGGGCCGGCTGGTTGTTTCTGCTGGGAATGCTGCTGTTCGGAATGCAACCAATCTGTATGACCACTGCCTACCTAATGTTACTCATTTTCTTTTTATTACTCTAAAGGAATAGTTGTCTATTTATTTACTCCTGATCATCCAATACTATACTATAGGGCACTTATAAGGCATGGCATATCCATATGGATCAAAGTTCCTTTACAGTTTGTGGCCAGGGAGGTTGTGGATGATAAATTTCAACTTCCTGCTTCTCAAGTTCCGATTTCTGGATCCTATTCTGAGGTCTAGAGCTTTTTGTCCAATGTTGATTTAACTGACACTTTTGTTGCTCTGATATTGGAGAGATTAATATATCATCTCCCAATAACATGCCTTGAGATTGTGGAGTTCTTGAGTGTTTGAGCTTATCCCAATTGTTTCTTCTTCCTAACAGGTGTTGGCTCAGCTGACTGCTGCTTATGAAGAAACGCAGGATGGATATGCCACAGCTGATGCAACTGTCTCGCTCCAGAGTATATTTGTATTCTTTCTTTTATGCACATATAGTTGTCAAAAATCTGTTGCGATGCTAACAGCCTATTTTCTTTGGCAGAAGTAGCTTCTCAGTTGGGTTATGATGATATTGAATCAGTGAGCACAGAAGAGTTGTGTTTGGAGGTTCATTCCCCCTTGTCCCCTGCTATTTGTTGTTTTCAAGAGAAGATGGTATTGGAGACAAAACTTTCACACTTGTTTCCATCCTTGTAGGTTATGAAGGAGATAGGCAAACTGATGAGGAAAAAGAAGATGATGGAAGAAGCTGCCAGGCCATTTTAGCTGTGAGTTGGTATACTTTAATCACCCACCCCAAAGGACTTGAATTGCTACATTAGGTCTTACTCATTTCTGTAACATGACAGAAATCATTTTTGTGCATTGCTGTATAAGGTGAGATGTTTTGTTTTTGAACTTGATGTGTATATTAAATAAATGCTACACAACATCTTCCTAGATAGAGCCATTTGGGTAAAATGCAACTTGAGAAGATTGTGTTAAGCGGTCCTGTTTTTACCATGCTTTCACCTCTTGGATGTAAAATGTGTGTTTTTAGTCTTTGAAGTCTTCTCAGGTTTCATAATACATGAACTTGATTCAGAGTAAGGCGGCGCATTCGTGAAATATTTAGTTAGGGTGTGTTTGGTTGGGGACTTTGTATTTCACTATAGGTTTTGATATTTATTATCATGTTTATTTGTCTATATTTGTTATACTATTATTGGATTTAAATATTTTAGTAATTACAAAATTTATTATTCTTTTACTCTTCTACTTTTGAACAATGGAATAAAATGGCAATTAGTTGTTAGCTGATTATGCAAAATGACTTTCTCAAAAAGCTTATCAAAAAAGTTGTTTTGGGCATGATACTGCTAATTCTACGCAAGCAATATAAAATAACACGAGACCGATAAAAGCAAGTAAAACCTTTATTGATCACGGTAAAGGCCCTAAGTACAATCTAGTTGATTGCTCTGAGTACCGACTGAGTGCGGTCGGGATTCTCTAACAACAACCGATCGATCGTCCAAAAGTCCCCTACACTGTAGCTACTGTGGGTATTTATAGCCGCTATGCCGGGGACAGGATTCCAGCCGTTCGGCATGTCCTCCACGTAGCCACCACGTGTCATCCTCCCGGGTGCCCTGCCTGTCAATGTAAAGAGCCGCCACGTGTCCTTCGTCAGCTCTTTCGCCAAAGGGCTACCGCTCGGTGGTCGACACCGCCGCTCGGGCAACTCCCGGTCGGTCTACGACCGGGTTCTTCTCGTGGAGCCCGACCTGTTACCTGCAAAGACAAGGAGAAAGAGACAAAGGCTCCTCGGTCGTGGTGAGGCTATGTCGATCGGGATATTCCCTACCAAGAGCCCCCCAGCCCGGGCCTTTTTGATCAGTCGGGAAGAAACGGGACGGGATGAAGAAGCCCAACCGTCAGCCACCCAGCCGACCTGCCAGCTGTCATTCCTTCCTACGCCACGTGTCGGCCTCTGCCGGCCTCGGCGATCCCATCCGTCGCCTCGGATTCAGCGCGGGTCGTGTCAGGCAAGTTGGCCCCTTTCCCGCCTAAATGCCCTCCTATAAATAGGCCCTTGAGGCCTTCATTTGAACTTTCCTCACTCTTTTGCTTCAGTCGGTATCCTCTAAGAATCCCGAGCAGAGCATCTCAGCAAGGCGATCAAGCAAAGCAAAACTTCAGATCCTCTTTCAAGTTTCTTCACTCGGTAAGCTCCTAGTTCTTTACTCTTTCTTTACGCTTTCAACTATAGGTAGAACTGCTTAGGTCAACTAACTGTCCCGGACGACTCAAGTCCTTTACTAACCCCGACCGACCTTTAGGTAGAGCGAAATGACGGATTCTGACAGTCAAAACGCCTCGATCGCGGATTATGACGAGGAGGTCGAGTATATCAGCGACGAGGAAGTGGACATTATGTCCTGCACTCCCGAAGCCAGCCCCCGAGCAACGCCAGCCCCTGAGCGAGCCGTCGAGCATAGCAACGCAGCAAGCCCCTCCGGGACGTCGAGCTCTAGCTCCAGCGGATCGGGGAGCTCCAGCGAAGAAGAAGAAGAGAGAACCACGTCAAGCGGGCGGGGTTCTCCGACCGAGGGCGTTAGGGAAACGCCTACCCGGGTGGTTGGGGACTACCCGGAAGCTGCTCCTCGAGGGGGTGATCGGGAAAAAACCCCCGAGCAGACCGAAGAAGACCCGGCCGGGCCGGCCACACCAGCAGTCGAGCTCGAGTTCTTGAACAGCGAGAGTGTCGAGCAAGAAATGAGCCTGCTGACCAAAGGCGAAGCGGCTCGGATTGCTGAAGTACTCCGGGGTCGGGTAGAATTCGACACGAGTCGGCGGCTGGGGAACGTAATTGATAGGCATCGGGGCAAGTGGATCGGGATGCATTACGACTCCCTAATGGCCCCGATTGCTATTCCCTTCCCGGCCCTCTTGACGGCCTTTCTAGCATACTACCGGGTCGTTCCGGCTCAAATCTGCCCGAACGCCCACCGGATCCTCGCCTGCTTCCCGCAGATATGCACTCGGCACGAGGCCGAGTGCACGATGGAGTTGTTTAACTTCATCTACCAGATCAAGGTCCTCCCGGGCCGCTACGGGGGCGGGTTCCTGATGCTGCAATCCCGAGCAGATATGTGCTCCATCAAAGGCCTGCCCGGGAACAACAAGGGGTGGAAGAACAGAATTTTCTCCATCAAATACGACCCCTGGATCCT